AGAAACAAGAAGAAAATTACTGCCACAAGTCGAAGAATCTTGTCTGCCGCATCAACCATCTCACGATACCGCGCCTCCCTAATGGAATCTCGATCCTCCAACGGAATAAGACAGTCAAATTTGCGCTCTTTGCCCTGGTAGAGGGGAAGATTGTTCCATAGTGACGCCAATGCACCAATTTTGCTCAAATTTTCGTGTGCTGTCAGAACACGATCCCGCAAATCACTTATGACCACCAGATTACTGTCAATAAAGTCTGTCTTATCTGCAAGCAGAACAGTCAGACAAACTCTTCATTCAATTAGTAGATTACATTCAATACAAAAATAAGTAACCAACTCACAATCCTCCCAATTCATTTCACTAAAAGCTGGAGCCAGATTATTATCAAAGGTCTCCACATTGGTTGAAATGAGGGGATACTCGACGGTGTAGGTCTGCTGTAGAACGGTGTTGTAGGCGTTGGCGATTTGGTTCAACTTCAGTCTCGCCTCACGCAACGGCTCTGTTCTCTCAAACAGTTCAATACTCTCTGAAGGTAATTTTGCCTTAATCTGGTCCATTGGAGTTGGAACTGCAGTCTTGAAGTCTGGAGACACTTCGTGCTCGCACGGACCCTCACCACTCATCATGAGGAGGTAGTGCACCTCACGAAGCACTTCAACCAACTGATTGTCAAAGTTTACTGCCAGAAGACGACTTTCTGAATCCCGACGTAGGAGTGGAAGTTGAAGATTGACACGGCATTTCTCGGGGGCTGAATCGCATAGCTCTTTAAGCTTCACTTCTCTAAACCTACCCACAACAGGAAAGATACAGAAATTAAAATTCATAAAGGCAGCAATTATTGCAGTTTTAAGACTTACTCGGATAGAAGAGTGACTAATTCTTCGTATTTCTGCTTCAATTTGTCTGCTCGTTCTGTTTTTGCAGCCCTAAAAAATGAGAGGTTTGGTGATTGAAAATTTTTTGCCTATTTACAGTTGCTTCCACCCTTCAACGAGTGTTTCTCTGTGTATTCACAGCATTGCACAGCATAAAATACTACTTCATAGCGTAACAATTCGACGAGAGGCACGCCATTTCAGAGTTCAAAAACCGAGGAATGTCACCATCAGTAATCCCAAGAATCGAAACTGCTAGTGAAGTTTAAAGTAGAACTAATTCATTAGCTAATATTTTACGTCTCCGATGCACACATCAGGAAACGGTCGTTCTCAACTCGGTGTTAACGAAACGTTTCCCCACCTGCAGAAGTGGAGGCAGACGGGGTTCGAGGAACCGATTTGGACTACATTTAAGACTTGCTAAGGACTCACGGATGATCGATGTGTTGGAATGGCTTCATGATGGCGTTGGCCCGCCTCAACAGTTGGAGAGACCAGGCCATAGCTCCAGAAGCTGGTGGTAGATTCTTAAAAATGGCGTGTTTTAACATCTCCTCATCATCAGAATGTCGATCTAAAATGAGTTTGCATTCGTCCAAATCCCTGTGCATCATTTCAACAAGATCGTAGAAGCAGTGCTCAACACGCGGTGCAATAAGTGGGCGCTCCAACAGAGGACCAAACATGAAGATAGTCTTGAACATTGCAGATGTATCAGGACAATTACTGAAACTTCGTAACAAAATTGAGGTCATCCGATGATCGTAATTTTCGATTGTTTTGAAGTACTTTTGAATTTCATTGAGGAAGACATCATCATCCGTGGACAGACAATCCATATTGAGATCAGTGAAATTTTTGTAGGCACTTTGATACTCCTCGTACATATCGGCAAGGCTCTTTGAGAGGTTTGCACCAACAATTCCCAAGACTTCCACCTTCTCCAGTCGATTATAGTCAACATTGCTGTTGAAGTATTTCTAAGTAAAGAAGAAGAAGAAGAAGTAACAACAAGATTGAATTTAACTTGTCTGTAAACGGTTCTAAGCCCAATTTTAGCGGCTGTAAAATTGAAATGCAATGACTCACCTTGATGAGCTCCAGGCGCTCAATGAAGGCATTCAGACGTTTAAAGATCCAATTATTGTGGAAGTACCATTCCGTGGGTTCAATGCCATGGCGAATGCAGGACTCCTTCACATTTGCTCGATACTCATCAACAACATGTCGAAAGTGATAGAGAATGTCCAATGAATCCTCCAGTTTTTTTAATCCATCATCTGGCTCCTCTTTAACAATTTCTGACGGATCGAGGTAAAGTCGACACTAAACA